ATATACATGCATTGGTTCAAAAATTGGATAAATGCATTATTTTTCACCAGTCACTCGTTTCATATGACTTTAACATCTCTAGCGCTCGACTTTAGATCTACAGCGCTAGACTTTACACCCCAGCGCGCTGGACTTTAAAAACCACAACTCTATATATCTGCGTGAGACCAGCAGATCACTGTATTATAGAGATGTTTTGCGTGGATTTATAGGCCACACAGACTTATATATCAGCAGTGCATATGGCCTTAGCTAGTTCTGATAGTTCAAACAAAGTAGACTAATCTTTTCCTATCCTTAATAATTGTTGACAAATAATAAAGATTGAATTTTGAAAGTCACAGAGAAATGAAATTTGGTCACTTCATAAACAAATCAAAGGTGGCAAGAAAGGTCTAACACAAAAACTCGTTAACCATAACCCATTTTTCATATATTCTGATTAATGTTAATACATGTTTAAGTGTAAAACAACTTCGATAAATATATATACATATTGAATAAAAACGCATAAAGAGATAAGATGTGATTTAAAACAGTTTGATTTCTTCATTTATCTCACATTTATTCGATAGTATTCAATAATAAATATTGGGAACCACTCCTAACAGCAAGAAAAGGCGGTATTTTTTTTATGTATCTTTGATATATATGTCGTTAAAACCGCTATTTATTTATATGTATTTTAAAAGTTTTTTGGGGGAGTCAGTTATATTTTAAGTAATAGAGTTGTGTGTATTCTAATGGAAAGTATGAGTGCTACAGCACCAACAGAACTGATTGTAATATAGATATTAAAATGTACATTGAAACAATTTGAATTATACTAATATACTAATAAGTGTACGATAATAAAAACATAGACAAAAAGGATAAGAAAGGCCTTGAAATAAAACAAAAATCAACAATACATTACAGAATATCTTTTCAAGTGAACTTTTTTTTCTCAAATATCTATTTCCGTATTTCCCTTTATTCATTTTCTTGCCAATTTAGGTAGAAAATAGTTCAATAATAATTATGTAAGGTGAAGAACTGACCATTTGGATTTTATAGCTTTGAGGCAACAAAGTTATCTCGGACCCAAGGATTTTTTTTTTTTCAAATTAAAAACCGATTTTTTTCTAGAGTCGTTCACTCCTAGATTAAATTTACCTCTTTTATGCGCAGGACATTTTACCTTTGATCTGAGCCTAGATAAATTTCAAAAATATTCATTGCCCCTCCAATCTCAACAAAAAAGGACACTAAGTCACCAAGTACACATCAGAGAGAACTCGCATTCAATATAATAATATGTCCACAACTCAAAATGGTTTAAAGGAACCCTGCATGCATATCTTAATGAAAGGAACCGATAGTCCAAAATCATTCAATAAATGAGTGCTCCCTCATTTCTCGTTACGGCAAGTTACGTCAAGTTAAGGCGATTTTCGTCCGTTCGTAAGATGTTGAGAAACCTCTATTACAACATTAATAAGATAACCTTTACTAATAAGTTTGTTTAAAGGGTCGATGAGTTTACACGGATCACATAGTGATTTCCGCGCTTTTAGTACAATATTACCGTAAAATTTAGGATGTGGATGTGAAATACCGTTTCTAATGAGTTTTCTACAAGTACAGCCAAATTTACTAATCAAATCTTTGTATCAATGAAAGAATTTAGTAAATGTTTTAAGTAATTTATGGTAACGAAATCTCTGACTTAATATTTTACCAGTGATGCATTGATTACGTACGTTAAAATCTATGACATCACTACTCACACGGGCATAACGAACGAGTTGGGATATATAAACACCGTATGATGGAGCCAAAGGAACATCGCCATGTAAAAGAGGAAAATTAACAATAGGGAATGAAAAATGGTCTCTTTTGTCGTAAATTTTAGTATGGAGTTTCCATTTAGAAACTGAAATGTCCGATCTAGAAAATGACAACTACTGCTGTTTATGTTAGATTTAGTTAAAGTAAGTTCTTTTGCCTATTATTTCGAATTAATAATATTTAGAACGAATCTATATACAGCAAATAAATCAGAAATAGAATCTCTATGCAGCAAATTAATCAAAAATAGAATCTGTATCCAGCAAATTAATAAGAAATAGAATATCTACAAAACGTGAATACAACCGAAACAATTGGCTGACTCCATAAATGGAGATTTATCCTTAAACGACGATTTTTGAATAATTTTCGAGTCCGTTGTATACCTTTTCAAAGATCTTTCCCTCTGAAACTATACTGACCCAATTCCAACCAAAAAAAATGTACTTTTTTGTTCAGTCAATACGCTTAGCAAGGTTAAAAATAGAACATAAGCCTGCATGGGGTAAAATGAATTAATTGTTTTATATCTCGAAAACCATAAAAGATACAGATAATCTGAAAGGGCAAAAAAAAGCTGACAATGTCGACATGATCTATATAATAGACAACACAAAACACAGATACATGTAAAAAAAAATGCAAACAAAAGTAACGCAGTCTCAAAGTACTTTAGCTTGTGTTAAAGAAGCTATGCCGCCCTACATTCTTATTTCGGCGACTGTACCTTTGAAAAGATTTGACATGTAGCAAAGTCATGAACAGAGCAGGAAGATCGATTGTTTTTTGTTTGTTTAACGCCCATTGGCAAATGCATACTTTCAGTCTGGGTTAGTTGGAAGAATGGCTTGATACAAATTTGAAAGAGGACAATAATTCAAAATCAGATGATAGTTTTATACCAAGTTCCGTGTTCTTTTCCTATCCATAACGTAGGAATAGCCGGTCCATATAGTAGCTACATGGGAAATATATATTGGGTTTTCTATGAAGCAGGTATGTTGAAACACGTTTAAATGTTTTGGAAATATACCATTATGACCAAGAGTCCCGCATTAAGGCATTGAGAAGTAGATCTCTGTACTGAATATATATATATATATATATATATTCAGTACAGAGTCACGATATCTCAGTAGCATGAGTTCGAATCCCGGCGAGGGAAGAACAAAAAATTTGCAAAAGCAAATTTACAGATCTAACATTGTTGGGCTGATGTTTAGACGAGTTGTATATACAGAATGTACACAGCCATGTATCACCATCACTGCTGGTGATCCGATGGACCAATCTTACTTATAGATATAATTACTTCTGTGCCTGTATCTTTCGTTAATTTGTAGGATCCTTTACAATAGATATTTCAGCTGATCTGTAACAATTCCATTCTATTCCGTATGCAACACGCTTCACATTACCCAGTAGTCAAAACCAATAGGTACATGTAAGCTGTTAAAAATTGATAATAGGACTCGAAACACCTTTGATCTACACTTTAATGCCCCTTTACCTGTCATACCAGTGAATGTAATATATTGAACTTGTTTCATTTTTTTGTAGATGCTCCCATTAACAACCAGGCTATGCAATAATTTAATTTTGCAAAACGACTGACATGCCCTGATAATGAATCTCTAGAAGAGTTTGAAAGAAAAAAAATTGGCGCAATGTCTAATAACATGCAAGCCATGCACTTTTTCAAAGGATATAAACATGTAAATAAAAGTTCTCAGAAAACGACATAACATGCAGATTTGATAATATGGAACTGTAGTATCGGGAATGACTTCGTCTGAAAAATACATTCAATATCAATGTATGATAATGATACAAGACACTGGGATGTTTGCAACTGTTCCCAAAAAAATTCTGACATTAGCACAAACTGATACATATAAATAGGAAGGTGTGGTATGAGTGCCAATGAGACAACTCTCCATCCAAGTCACAATGTATAAAAACAGCCTTTAATAAGATTTAATAAAATAACTTTTGATTAATTTTATAGTTGTTTATTTTCAAATCCCCAAATCCAAATTCAACTTTACAATAATGATGCTACTTATCCAATCTCCATAAATACTTCAAAAGCCACAAAAATCTTGAATTGCATTATAAATCTTAAATGGGACAACGGGGTACTTCCCGAGATTCCGACACCCTATTCGCCAAACAGTTCAAGAATCAAACATATCATGTAATAGTCCGACAAGGTATTTAAAACCCTACTTGATAGGGTTCAGAATTGACGTAGTGTCTGTACAAGTCTGTCGCCTATGGCCATTTTAAGGGCATACGATACAGTTACAGGGGAGGTAATGACGTTGCCAACGTAAAATGTTACTTTTCGCGACGTCAAACTGTGAAATATCGAAAAAAGATGCATTTTTCGACTGATTTTTATCATTCAGACTAATTTAACTTGAAAACGAGTTCATGGACCCCTCTTTTTTAAAATGCCATTAGTTTTGATTGCGTAAAAGTCACCGATGAAAATTTTTTAAATTAGATAAATATACAGCAAAAAATGACGTATTTTTTCTAAAATCCTGAAACTTTGATAAAAAATTATTATTTCCAAAGAATTGTTATACAAATTAAGAGCATATTTATGTAAAGAAGATTTTCCAAATGTTTTTACAAAAATTCGCTTGTGTTTATCTTTTGAAAAAAAGTTAGGTATGTCTATCCAAAGGATAGAAATGTAAAAAAATCCCAAATTTTGAGTAAATGACTAAAATGTCGACCCCATTTATCTCTTAAAGCAGCACATGAAGGTATATTCTTATAAGATATTTGAATTGCTTAGATGTAAAATAGCTCGTATGCAAATTTTCGTCAAAAATTCACCGTGGGATCGAAACTGTATCGTATGCCCTTAAGAAACATATTTTGTGTACAGTACGGTGTATCAGCAAACACACTGACGTTAAATGCACAGCGTATTTGTCAGTTGCTAACGGACTGTGATTCTATAAATGCACCTCTTACGTACCTCTATCGTACATCTGATACTCTTCTAGAACGAAATTCTTTTTATTTTCGTTAGTTCGCTGTCTCAATGACGTAATCCCCACATCTCCTTTGAGTCATATACATAGTTTTCGAATAAGGGTAGACATGATGAGACAGTAACACATCGAAACAAATAAACAAATAAACAAAAGGCATCTGGTGGTCGACAGACAATCTTTTATAATTAAGAAGTGTAATAAAGTAACTGTTATCATCATTCATTTGTAAATTGATAGGAATCATTTTGAATCCTATCGTATGCAATAAGAAATAGCGGATTGAGCTATAACAAAATACAAATGGTCATTTAAATCTGCATATAAAATGTAAAAACAATTAAAGGGGCACTAGCTGTCAAATTCATGTTCACCGATTTGACTCAAATTCTGATATTTGATTTATAACCATGTAAAACATTTATCCAAATTATAAAAAGAAACAATTTACAGGGCATGGGCTCGATAATATGTAGCTTCGTTTCGTGTTTATTTTAGTCTTGACGCCATCTAATTAACTATCGAGTTGACCTCCGAAGACCTCCGATGGTCATATAAGCGATATAAACATAAATATAGATGTAAATAGAAAGCGCACTCGTGCAATTTGATTTTTCTAGGTCTGTTTAATTTCATATTAAATATTAAAAATATATGTTAATCATCGTTTTTACCTGTATATGAATGATTTTTTTGTGGATCGAATCAGTCAATCAAATGATTTACCTTTGTTTCACTTTCAATGTTGACATTATTTTCCTTTAAATAACCTAACACTCACAATTCATGCGTTATCCATCTCTAGCTAAGGGGTTAAATTGAAGTTCACATGAATACGGATTCAATGAGATCGGATTATTCACTTGCATGTGAATAATTCATGATCAATGTTTCTTAGCTTAATTTGACAAAATTAAACCATACTGGCTGCTAAAAGCGAATTATTATTTCACTTTTTCACTTTCATTATAAATGATTGAACAAAAATAAATCATACTTTAGATTTTTTATATTTCCCGCAGCTAGTGCCCCTTTAAAACAATGGAAATACTATATATATTTTATAACTCAGTCTATATGTACATTGTATGAAGATTTTCAGTTTAACATATTAAACATTGATAAATGCAAGTTTCGGTCGAACTAATTGTTAAAAATAGCATCGTGGTGTTGAATTCAGAATTTACAGATACCAGTGACCAAGGCACAATTATGTTTAACTAACGAACCAGTCTATCTCAACCTTAGATGTTTCATGTCCTTGAGTTTCATGGATGCCCACAGTCCACTTAGATACGTCTATTTTTCCAGCAGTTGAAGCAATTAAAAAGTTCCAGTACGGGTTGGACGTAAAGGATACGTTGAATGGACCATTTTTCGAATAACCTATTGATCTTATATGTTGTGCTCCTACGTCTTTTTCGTCGTTATTTATGTTGATATTATCTGCGTTCAATACAGATACATGATGACTTTGGGGATGTGTTGCATACTTTACAGTGAACCGCACCATTTTACCAGCTTTAATGTCTCGTATTAATGTTGTCTTTGAACCATGTATGGACTGTCCTGATGCACTGTTAGAGAAGACATGTTTCCAGGGTCTTGTATCAATAAACCATTTAATTCGCTGTCTGTAGTTAGTTTTTCCACGACTTGTATGCGATCCAATATTGTATCGAATTGTTTCTACCTACATCTCCCGTTGTAGCAACATTTTCCCAGTACCAGTAAGCATCTGAATTGAATGTCTTGCCACTGTTTGACACATGTCCTAAAACCTGCGCTGTCACGTGACCATTTCTAATAATTAATTCATCGGCTTCAATGGGGTAACCTGACTGATAAAGTAGTCTCACTCGTTTTCCATTTAAAATAGCTGATCGTAAATAATCTACAGAACCATCGATTGATTGGCCATGCTCGTCGTGCTCATATGCCAAAGACCAGCACGTGTCAGCCAGCCATATGATTGGTAACTTGTCTGTAGTATGTCCTCGATCTTTATGTTCACCTATGCTCCATCTTGATATATCACGTGATCCGTCTGTGGACCAAATTGTAAACCACCAGTAGGCATTTTTCTGAAACTCCACATAGTTAGAAACGCTAGTTTGGCTTATATGCCAAAGATGAGTACCAGATACAAACGATGTTTTCTTGTTGTAATGTAAATTTGTGAACTCGACAGAATAGCTTCTTTTAGCATCTACCCCATGAATCTCTGCGCCATGACTGATTACAGTTATTAAGTTGTTTACATTACCACAGTACGGAAACCCACTCTCGGTGGTACAAAGAACTGGTTTCGCCGGAGTCGAGTCACAGCTTAAATGTCTAAAACACAAAGATGAAAATTGACTATCTAACAAAGGTATTTGGACTTCTTATAATGATATTCAATGTACAGATGCATCGTCTGATTATTTTTTTTTATATCTAACTATAAAAGAACAGGAAGAAAAGGAAGTTTATTGTAGATTATTTATCTTAACGATATCTAAAAATAAACATAAAAATCATATAGCATTATTACTTTCAATATAGAATTGAACGTCATCATGTCCTTTCCTCCGCAGAAGCACAATATTGACTTTTTGTCGATAAAATGCTTGAATATTCAAGAGTCTAAAACAACACTTGAAACATTTTTCAACAACTTTAAATATTACCATTATATTGATATGTTATACAGCGCCACATGTTTCTGTCGAAGGCAATTTGGTACAAAACTGCAAATTTTACATAATTTATGCTCGTCTTATATCAAATTGTATCTTCAATTATGGTCGTTCTGGTCCGTTTCATGAAGTTCTTTGTTAATTTTTAGGCCAATTTTGTTTCATATAGGCACGTTGTTGGTTTCAGTCATGCCCTTTAGCGTGTGGTATGGTTGTCAATCAGATAACCATCAGAGTCCAAATGACAATATTACATAGTAACGGGTGTATTGATATATAAACGATGGAAAGGATATTCGAAAACCGTTGTTTTTTCCAAACCATTCCCCCAGATAGCAATATAATTAAAATTATATAAATCCTTTAATTGCTCCCGTTCTGATATATCGCGCCTATATATAACATACAGTACCTTACAAACCATTTTACGTTGTATTTAACTTTACTTTCTGATGGCGATAGGTGGACTCCAACGTACCAACGGGACATGTGTACATTGCCTGTTGTGCACAAATTAAGAAACCACCAATATGCCTTAGTTTGGTGTGAATCAAATCCACCTTTGCTGATGTGAAAAAGTGCTAGTACGCAAATTTCGCCGTTCAAAGAATAGACGTTATTTGTATCAGTTGAATAAAGGTCGTCCATTATAATTCGAATCTTTGAACCAGAAACTACAGCACGACGAAGATCCTCTTTACTGCCAGATACAACTTTTCCATTCCTGTCTCCCTCCAAAACCTTTAGCCATTTACTATCACACGACACTATAAATATATATATAAAAAAAGAAACAAGTTGCTTTCTTTAAAAAAGAAATGCAATCGTGAACCTAAACCTTAGATGGATTTGGCTATTTTTTAGGTCCTTTTTGGTTATATAGCTCTTCAACTGTTTAGGTTCTTATACACCTTTGGCTTTCAAATATTCGGCTTTGAACCTTCCTGATGAAGGTAAATCCAGAAAAGCGCTTCGGATGCATGAGATTTATAACGTATTGTTTTCATTTTTTACAGCACTGGGTCGATACCTCTGCTGGTGGACTATCAGTCCCCGAGGGTATCATCAGCTCAGTAGTCAGTACTTCGGTACTGACATGATTTATAACAAACTTTCCTAAAATTGTCCGTTAATAAATTTTAAAATTGTTAGAAACTAAGGTTTCAAACTCCCTCAGGCAAAGTTGACCTCAGATGGATTTGGCTATTTTTTAGGTCCTTTTTGGTTATATAGCTCTTCAACTGTTTAGGTTCATATACATCCCTGGCTTTCAAATATTCGGCTTTGAGCGTTCCTGATGAAGGTAAATCCAGAAAGGCGCTTCTGATGCATGTGAAATTTATAACGTGTTGTTTTCGGTTTTTTTTTTCATTTAATCAAGGCTTAAAAGTACGAATGTACCAATTTGACACGCGAAAGAACCGGCAAGCTTTTTTAAGCTTAGATGTCAGATGTATACTATACTTGAGAACACTGAACATACCACAAAAGAAGAATGATATGATTTACATGCAACAGACAAGCCAGTCACATCTAGACAGACAAGCCAGTCAACAGACAAGCCAGTCACATTTAGCTCCAAGATTTTCACTATAAAATCTTCAACAAAAAATGGATTATTCATACACAAAAAAATAGCATCGTACGTTTTACGGATTTTCTTCAGAACATCAGTTAATTCAACGTATCATCCTCCAATAATTGAGACAAAGGGAAATAAATTAAATTACTTCAATCGAAAACTGTATATAAATACAGAAATAATATTTCTATAGTTACATGTATATGAAAGCTTAAAGGAATAAATTGAAGCTCACAATTGTTAACCATTGGCTGACCAAATTGATACGATTTCACTTCTGTAACTATCATTACCAATACAAACAGTTGAAAATAGCCCTTCATATCCTTAGATTATAGGCGTTGATAATGATCCTACAAATAAATATGTTCTGTGAAAAGTGTTTTATCTAGGACTATAATACTATAGGATAATAGTCCCAGGTTTTATATAATACTTGAAGATATAGTATTTAATATAAACCGATGCAAATTATTAGAATTTTTTTTAACTGAAAATTAGAAGAAAAAAAAGAAAAAATGTTTTGCTCTAGTCAATGCCCAGCAACTGTCTGATTTCGTCCCTTTTCAATTGGTTTATGAATGAATAAAAGGAGATATGACCAAACTCAGTAAAGACACGTCATTGTTACATTTGGTTGATACATTCAACAATACCTTCCGTTATTTAGATGATATTTTTTCGTTAAATAATCCAGAGTTCTCTAAATAAACTACCGAAATTTACCCAATAGAACTTACTTTAACTAAATCTAACATAAACAGCAGTAGTTGTCCTTTTCTGGATTTGAACATTTCAATCTCTAAAGGAAAATCTATACGAAAATTTACGACAAAAGAGACGATTTTTCATTCCCTATTGTTAATTTTCCTTTTTTAGACGGCGATGTTCCTTTGGCTCCATCATACGGTGTTTATATATCCCAACTCGTTCGTTATGCCCGTGTGTGTAGTGATGTCATAGATTTTAACGAACGTAATCAATGCATCACTGGTAAATTATTAAGTCAGGGATTTCGTTACCATAAATTACGTAAAACTTTTGCTAAGTTCTTTCATAGATACAAAGATTTGATTAGTAAATTTGGCTGTACCTGTAGAAAACTGATTAAAAACGGTATTTCACATCCTAAATTTTACGGTAATATTGTACTTAAAGCGCGGAAATCACTTTGTGATCCGTGTAAACTCATCGAACCTTTAAACAAACTTATTAGTAAAGGTTATCTTACCAATGTTGTAGTTAGATCTTTGAATATAGTTTACATTGGCACTAATATCGATTTTGTCATCAGCAAATTAAAACATATTCTTTTCAAACGGGATGTATAAAGACACACCCACGTTCATTTTGATCTATAAAGAGGTTAAACTCCTAACTATCCTACTGCCTGTCGATACATTTATTTTTGGCATTGCACAAGTCATGTCTTCTTTGACTGTCCATGACGTTAAAATACTAAATCCCTGGGATGTGTTTTAGTTGATTTTAGTCTCTGATGCATGATTTTTTATTATTAATTGTTTTGGCTTTTAACTAGCTGTCAGTAACTGCGAGTACTCTCAAATCGTACTTTCTTGTTAATTTGACATGTTGATACTAATTGTAATGCTTTTTTGTTATTTAATGTTATTCAGGGTTTTATCTGGTCTATATATCAGCTTTGATAAGTGTTTGGTATTACTATACATTTTCACTTCGTACTATGAACATCAAAATTATTTATTTATTTTCTCTATTGGAACTGTACACGTATACCTAACAACAAAATTATTTTCATTTACCTGTGTTTAAAATAATTGCAAATGGCTGATATTTTTGTTAGCGCATATTGTTTTTCTTAAATTGTTTAACATTTCATACCGATATAACATGTTACTTTTATTATTTTTCCCTTAGTTTATTTATTTTGTATTTACATTGTATCATAGGTTAAATTTATTTGTTCAGTGTATGTTCACTGGTTTTAATATGTCCTTTGATTGAATTAGGCTATTTCAGTTGATATTTTATAGTTAGTCTTTCTATGTTGTGATGTTACACTATTGTTTCAGAAAAAGGGTGAAGGTTTGGTACCATTAAAACGTTTAAACCCGCTGCATTTGTTTGCACCTGTCCTAAGTCAGGAATCTGATGTTCAGTAGTTGTCGTTTGTTGATGTGGTTCATAAGTGTTTCTCGTTTCTCGTTTTTATATAGATTAGACCGTTGGTTTTCCCGTTTGAATGGTTTTACACTAGTAATTTTTGGGGTCCTTTATAGCTTACTGTTCGGTGTGAGCCAAGGCTCCGTGTTGAAGACCGTACTTTGACCTATAATGGTTTACTTTTATAAATTTTGACTTGGATGGAGAGTTGTCTCATTGGCACTCATACCACATCTTCTTATATCTATGTATACGTCAGTGGGACCTCAATATAACGACACAAATTATAAAAAGACACCACGAGGTCAACATACAACCATTGAAACGTTTATAAATCAAGTTATAGATTTATGAATCTAAGAAACAATCGATGATTGGTACCACCATATATCCGCCTCAACAGATCAATGTACCGACAATGGTCATGGATATCCAAGGATACTGCCGGAATTAATTTAGAATGGAATAAGTATCAATAAGTATCAGGCTATCTTTCGTTTGAAAACTGACGGCTGTGTAGATTTGAAAAGAAAGGTGTTGCCTTTTCAATATATATATAGAAAAATTGTATAATTTCCAATCATACAACTACATTGTATCTACACGAGACCAAATGACGTACATGTAGATGTAAGCATCTACAGATCACCGTACGGCCTTCAACAATGAGCAAAACGCATACCATATCGGAAGATATAAAATGCCCCTAATGATAATACATGTATGTAAAACAATTCAAATGAGAAAACAAACGGCTTGATTTGTGTACAAAGCAATAAACAAAAAATTAAATAGGTTAGACAGTAACCAACAAAAACCACTAAATTACAGGCGTACAGAAGTGTAAATTCAATGTTTGGCTCGCCTCGACTTGGTCACGGAGGCGAAATTTAAACGTATTGTTACCAGTGGCGTCGGCGGCGGTGTCAATAATTTGTTAAAGTTTGTGATTTGGTCAGTTAAAGTGGAACCACTGTTGATATAGGTCAATGATATTTGGTATGAAGTTGAGTCAGCATTAGCATATCTCATTACCATGAGTTTATTTGGCCCACCACCTGAGCCATTGTCTATTGACTTTGATTTTGTTTAGTTTACATGTTAAAGTTTGTGATGATGTCAGTTTAAGGGGAACCACTGATGGTAAGTCAATGATAATTGGTAGGCATTTCAATGGAAAATTGTATCAAACCTTTTAACCGATGTGAGTATATAAAAATTAAGGAGATGTGGTATGATTGCCAATGAGATAACTATCCGCCAATGTTCAAATTAAGGGGATGTAAGCAAACAAAGGCAACCGTACGGCCTTCAACAATGAGAAAAACTCATACTATATAGTCGGCTATAAAAGGTTCCGACATGAAAAAGTGAAACATGTATGCATTTAATGCTAGAAGCTTAATCATCTAAAGCAAACGTGCACGGTATGAATTGTCCTTTTTTGAAGGCAGTACGATGACTTATAGTTGATAACATCTACGTCATTTGGTCATACCGTATAGTCGGCTATAAAAGGCCCCGACTTGAAAAATATGAAACAATTCAATTGAGAAAACTAACAGCCTAATTTATAACAAAACAATTTACGAAAAACAAATATGACAGATATGAACCAACGACAACCACTGAACTTCTGCTTCATGATTTTGGACAGGCACTTAAAGAATGTGTCAGATTTAAACATGTTTGTGAACGCTCAACCTTCCCCCTAACCTGGGACAGTGGTGTTACAGCACAACATAAGAACAAACTATAAAAATCAGTTGAAAACGGCTCAACTCACCAGAACGATACAAAGCAGAAAAATGTCTAACAAAAACACAGACAGGACGTGGCAGGTTATAAGGTTTTTCCACTTTTCTGTGGAAAGACCTTTTGTATTTGTTCTGATTATTTTTATTATTATTTTTCATCCGCCACTTTTGATTCTTGCGAGAAGATTTTGTTTCGCAAGATGTCGCTTAGTTATTTGGTATATGATATCAACAGTTAATGCGCTTTTCAAACTGACACCGTTTAACCGAACATGCAGTTTTCTTCGTATGAGTTATCTCCCCAAACACTGTTATTCTTGTGATCGCTACTCATTCGCAACCGTAAAAGAAAGCGACAAATTTATTTTTCAAAATTGCTCGTTATATCCTCAGGTTGTCAAAAAAAAAAATTGACCGAAGCGATCCGGAGACTCCATATGAGAGTTATTTCCCCTTATGTATACAAATAATTGATATGTATTTGTAACTGGTAAACCATAAGTGATAGAGACCTAGGGTCTTTTGATTTGAGGTCCAGGATCCACCAAATATAAAATGAGGTCAAGGTCAAAGGTCAAGGTCATGTTTTGAATTTTGATTTTGGCTTATAATAGCTTTTCATCAGAAACCGTATAAGATATCGACCAAATATTTTTACAAAATTGTTAGCTACGACATGTCGCAACACATATACTTTGGTTGAAAGGGTACGATGACATTTAATATGAATTTTCTTCCCTCTTATATTTAAAATTAGATGTTTAGTGATGTAACTCATTAACCATATATAGGAGATATCAAGGGTCTTTTGATTTGAAGTTCTTGCTCTATGACCTTGAAATTTAAGTCAAGGTCAAAGGTAAATTTGAAGTTCTAGATTTTGACCTTTGTTATAAATTCAAATTATTCAGAAATTTAATGTGGAAAGACCTTCAATTATTCTCTGAGCAATTGGTTTTTAATTTATTTGTAGATCCCTAACAACAAAAAAGACACAAAGTACATGTTTGGTTAAATTTTGAGAGTTTTCCTAGCTCTGCAGCTTGCAAAGAGAAGCACCGTTCAGGATAAATATTGTATCATAATCTAACAGTCTTATAAGTTTTTCAAAGATATGTTAAGGCGGATTGAGGCGACGAAGATTTAAAAAAATAGTGATTTTCAATTATATATTGGTTGATGTTGTAGTCTTTCGGAATACCGGAAATGCCTACTGTCTTTTCGGAATACATCTGTTCTTTTCTATGGCCACCTGCGTAATAGATAATGAATAGATCTATTGAATATGTATTAGCGTCCAACAGTTGCTATAGAGATAAGTGTTAATCGAGACTGATTATTATCCTACATAGCTAATTAAATTAGAGTCGCATATGTTAAGGATTCTGAAATACAAGCTGTGTTTACATTGGAGATCAAGTAGATTTTAAGCGAAAAGGGTGACTGTCAATGGATAGGGCGTTTTTACGATTTTCAAACTGAGCCATTTTAGCGAAATCAGAAAAGAGTAAAGTCCATTTAAGCAGCAATTAAAATTTTACGTCCAGGAAAGATGGGAACAATCAAGGTGTTTCTAAAATTGTTCCTATTTTGATAATAACAACAAAACCGGAATTATTATAATCATATATTATTTAACTGGTAAAACATTGGAGAAAAATACAAATTAAAATAAAGAAAATGAATTAAAAAACAAACAAACTGAACCTTAAAGAATCGTTGAGGTGTGTAAAATGCAGATATAAGATGCTACAACGAAATTTTATTTTTTAATATACATTTAAGTTATAAAAATATTTTAGCGGTATGTTGACGAATCTAAAAGAATAAGTAAATGTTTGGGCTTGATGTTTGTGATTTCTTATAACAGAAAGAATGATTATGCATATGCAATGCAGCAATGGTGAAATAAAAACCCATAATTTCACATGTGAAATAAACTCAACAATATTCAACTCGTGACCGAACAACACTGATAGTTAATTCATGCGCTACGCGCATTCGTGAATTAATGTGTTGTTCGGTCACTCGTTGAATATTTTTTCTATATTTGAATTCTTCGTTCAGTTATTGTTTAAATACAGACTCAGAAATAAAATAACTGAATGATGATATAAGATAATGAAATTATATCTATAGTAATTAAGGCTCTACATTTTTGTCAAACTTAAATATAAATAAGGCAACAAAAGCAATAATTATAATAAATGACAACGCGATGAAATCAGGTAGTTAGTTTTTCTCGTATGAATTGTTTTACATTGTTATTTAAGGCCTTTTAAAGCTTACTATGCGGTATGGGTTTTGCTCTTTGTTAGAGGCCATACGGTGACATATAGCTGTTAACTTCTACGTCACCTGGTCACTAGTGGAGAGTTGTCTCATTGGCAAACATACAACATCTTCCTTTTTTTTATCTAAATAAACCATGATACTTAATCTTTTCTAAAAATACAAGTTAACCCGGGAAATTACGGCGAAATTTAAAGGAACCTTTTATGTGTGTTAAATGCAGAAATTACACATCACATCGAAACATTGATAAATGAATATGCGTTTGCGTGCTTAAAATAATTCTAAAGATATGAAAAGATTTAGACACTGATTTTCTTTGGTGTCAACTTCCCTCTCCAAAACATATAGTTCTATAAATGGTAAAGTCAATTCTTTTGTTTTTGGTATGTGAAACAACCCACCTTCCCCTAAAAAATCTGATTAAAAGTTGAAGTAGCTGGTGCACAACTTCATGTCCCACCTAAAGAAGAATCAGTGCAAGTTTCTAGGAATTCCGTCAACTTGTTTTCAAGGTGTCGAGCCAATCTGTAGTCATAAGCGAATTTAGAGGGCCAAGTTGACAGAGTTCTAGAGCGTTTTTGGCGACAACTTAGTGAAAAATTATCTTTCTAAAAATC